GTAATTGAAGACAATATACCAAATCAAATTAATTTAGATGATTATTCATGCTGAAGATGATAAAAATTACTGTCTTTTCTGTATCCATAGGAATTTGATTTCTGGCAAGGTTTTATTTGTGAGGTAAAGTATTCCAGAAGTCTCTGTGTACGAGATGCAAAAATACTGCATAATGAGTCAAACTCATTAATAACACCATCAGTAGAAGTAGAGTGAGTTTCTCAATCTTTATTTTACTTTTTAGAGGTATAAAGGAATTTTGCTTCTTACATTTCTATTTTTGATTTGTCAGTAAATGTCCTGTATTAGCAATTTAATGTAAATAAATTTCAGGAATTATTCAGTGATTAACAGCCCATTTACTTTATCCAAATTACTATTCTGAATATTTTAATTTAATCTAGTATCCTTAGCTCATATCTAGTTCATCTATTTGATCTTTTAAATCAAGTAACAGACTATATGATTAACTGAAGTAAATCCTTGACCTATGTGCATCTCCTAAAATGAAAGTCTAAGCCTGTATATTACTTTTAAATGTTTCTGAAGCCACCTAGCTTATTTCAGGATTGAAATGATAGAGCTTAATAGATTCAAAGCTAATTATAAAGTCATTCTGAGGCAGAACAGAGACAACCAAACCAGATGGAATCCATTACCAATCATACTCCTGAGACTGTCTGGCATTATTAAAATGAATAATATTTCCATGTAGCGGTGTCTATTTTAATCAGTTTCTGTCTGGATACCAACACTAGAGCTACCTCTCTAGGCTTTGTGTAGAGGTCACCTCCATGCATTGCAGCAATAGGTCCTGTCATATTTGACTATTTCACCTTAATTAAAAGGACAAGTTTGAAAAGAATTTGGAGACTGTAGGATGCTTAAAGAGTACATAACCTCAGAAAAATATTACTGGACACATTAAAATGAAAATAAATATAAAAAGCATGTTAACAGCTGATGGGCAAGACAGTGTTACTTTGGATGAACAGAGAAAGACATTGTTTTCCATTTGGAAGCTGCAAGGAAAACTTTGGAATAAAAGCTCATTTCTTGTTAACGCTTCTGCCCTTCCCTCACCTTCCCCTCCTGCCCCCTTCATCTTAAGGAAGAGAAAAAGTAGGGAAGCAGGACAGTAAGTGCCACTTATAGATTTTGAGTTTCGGGTAAGCTTTCAAAATTCATCTGGGGAGACTGAAAGGTATGTGTCTATTTCTTATTCAAACAGTTGTGTCCTTAAACCATCTGCACTCCAAAACAGTCTACAGACATATTATCATGTTGTGAGTCCAGCCTAATATAACTTGCCTCCCATCATGGCTGGCTAGTTGGATACTACTTTAACCACTGCTATAGCACTTCCAGTGCAAATCTGGCTTGTGTCCACAGGTCCTAGAGCTCATGGAGGGGGACTGTTTATCTGAAAAACTCTGCCTTGACAGGAACAGGTTTAGATCTCTGTGCAAAGGGAAATTTCATCAGTATGAAATAACTTCTATTATTTTGAAAAATTATCAACATCAGATATGAAACTAGGCATAAAATTACAAGTCTAATCATCTTGGTAGGAAACACAGCCATATTTACAGAGCTATTATCACATTTATTGTTTAAGTTTCACAGCTGAAGGGCAGTCTCAGGGGGCTAGAGATGTGGAAAATGAGATTTATAATTTATAAATTAAGATAATAATGTCTTAAGTTTCCTGTCTCGAAATTGTGGTACTCCCCATCGTATATCACTCACTCCCTGTTTTATACACACATGCAAACACATGGATTTTAGCAGGCTGGGTTATGAATTGTTCTCATTCATTAAAAATCATGAATGAAAACAGAAATTGGTGATTTTGACTCTTTTGCATTGCAGTCAGTAAAGCTACAATATATATGTAGAGATTTAAACCTTAAAAAATCCAACAAGTTCTATGCGCAGATGACCCTATTTAAGTTTAGGAGCATGCAATAAGATAATACCTTTAAATACTTCTTAACTTCGTGTAAAAATTTGCTCAAATTTAAAACAGATATCAGTGTAAAAAAAAAAAAATATCAGTATTATCTTCTGCTCTTATCATGCTTAGTTTGGATAAAGCGTGCATTGAGCAAATCTCCTGGTTCCTGATGTCATCTTCTTGAAGAAAGTCAGAAGAGTCTTGAGTTGCTCATTTTGATATATAGTCCATTTAATCCAAAATTCATGCTACGTATGCCAGTTATACTTTCTAGATTAGATCATTAGTTTAAAGAAATTGAGAAGTAGTTTATCAAATACTGTAAAATAACACAGTAAAATTATAGTGATTATCTGTTAAAAAATCACTAATAAAAAGTGCATAAATGGCACTAAGAGTTGATCCCATTTAAACAGAGCATTGGAGGTCAGACCCTTTCCTTGAAGAGTAGGAGTAGTGGACTCAAGACTCTTGAGGCTCATGCTGGATTCAAAGCTGAAGTCTCTTTTTCTGGGCAAGTTTTGTCACCATGTGGATCTAGTATAGAAAAACCTGCCTCCTATTTTATTGTGCAGAGTCTGCCTTCAGGGGAGGATTCAGAGTTCTGAACAAGTGGGTGGAAATGCTCACCATGATGTTCTATGTTGAACATTTAGAACCTGTCTGATATTTTCTGCAAGCTATCCTGAAGAAACTCTCTCCAGCTGTTGAGTCATAGTGCAGTCGCTTCTAGGCTTTGTCTGGGAAGAAACCGTGCTTCATTTAGGAGTCCCAATCCAAGGTGCACCTTTAAACCTGACTGATTCCCACTCCTGTCAGATCACTTCAGCAGAAAAAAAAATCAAGATAAACCAGCCTCTACCCTAAAATTTGCCCTTAAAGGGGAAATTTTCTAACGGGGTATTTTTTTCCCAAATTACATCTAGGAAAGTGTGTTATAGCTGCCCCTAAAAAACTGCAACAGCATCCAAATTGAGTTGTAAAGTTTCATGTTATCACTTCTGCAATATCTTGGCCCTTCATTCATTCAAGATGGGTACTATCCAGAGTGTAATACTACCCAGGAATCCCATAATCCTGGGTTTCCATTTACTTTAAAGTAAGTAATGCAGGTGAGATGAATCACCAGCTCAAGGTGCTTCTCTCCCCAGTGACTGTACCAGGAATCTAGATGACTAGCTCAGTCTAGAAGCCTAACTCTTACACAGTAAAATTAGGCAAGTTGAATCCCAACTTGACTGCACTGAGGCATATCTAGAAATTTCTCATGGATCTAACAGCCACTGGATGCACTAACACAGACAGTGAGGAAAATATATTTTAGCAATGAGGATGAATCAAGCTATGTTTCATAAATTCTAAAATTATTCTTAAAAATAAGAATGCTTTATGTGTTTTAGCAAGACAAAAATAATTACTTAGCTGAAATGGCATGAAAACCAGCTGGTTTCTCCTGTTGCATATTATTGGATTTCTCATTTATGAACTTGAAAATGAATGTATGCAATGAAGCAGACCAACTGAGCAGACCTCAATATGAAATATACGACAAGCAGATCCTTTGCCCTTCTTATCAAGCAGATGGAAGACAGGTAGCACTAAGAAACTACTAATAGAGGAATCAAACTTATTAATGTAGCAAAAATTTCAGCACTTACAGCACTAATGTGTTTATTGGCAGAGATGCAGATATGCGTGTAGCCTACTTTCATTTTCCCAGAGCACAACTAAATTAACGCTGTCGTGTTGCTCAGGGTAACTGAATCCCACCTAAGAGTCCTCCCACGCAACAAGATCAATGGGACCCTGAAAGCTACAGCAGAAAGAAATTAGAATGTGCACCAAATTGTTGAGGTTGATAAAGAAAACACATTTGCCCTTCATGTATTTTTAAAGAGGTTCTTTTTCATTATGACTTGTAAATTGCTCCTCTGTGAACTGCACAGATAAAATTAAAATAGGCTTTTTTTCCCCTGCTTTTGGAAGTCTGCATGGATCCTGTCCTGAGGATGCTAATATTAAAGGATCATAGATTAAGCTAGTCCACTTCCCCGCTTTGAGTCAAGGTCAAGTATAACTGAGCAGTTCCTGACAGGTGTTTGTCTTATAGGTTAATAATAAAAACAGTCAGCACAGATATTCAACAGCTTCCCAAACTAGTCTGTTCCCTTGTTTGACAATCCTTACAATTAGCAACGTCTTCTATCTCATTTTATTTGTTTGTTTGTAAATTTATTTATTTGTTGAAGCAAATTTGAATTAAACTGATCTTTTTTTCTAGTCCTGTACTTGGCACCTTTGGAATGTTACTCATTAATGTCCTCTTTGCTTCAACATTTTATATATTTGAAACTTTTTATGTTCTTGCTCTGGTTTTCTCCCTGGCACTGTTACCCTACCTATTCCTTTCCAGCCTTAACAATCCCAGTCCTCTCAGGCTATACAGATTGTTTCCAAATTTCTTTTCTTACTGATCTTCTCTGAGTTCCCCCTAATTCATTTAAAAACATTTTAAACTGATCTTTATATACCAGAAATACCTTGGAATAGAATAATTATTGTCTTAACAATAATGCATCTGACAATGACATCTGTATTTAATGGAAAAGCAACTAAGTTAAAAACATATTTCCAGACTTTGTATTTCACCACTCTAAGCTTTACTTCTGTAGCATTATGCTCAGCTAGTTAATTCTTGATTTGTAGATATCCATTTAATTTTCATTCTTAAATGTGATATTTTCACTTGATATGAAGAAAAATCATCTTACTGTTATCACCGTTTCTCCAGTCTACCCTCATAATTTTGAATTCAAATGTGATCCTTCAGGAAATTTTAAACATTTCCCAGGTCAATATCATACAGAGATTTTATAAACAATACCCCATCTTATCACCCAAACATTCCACCAGGTATGTCCTTCTGATTTGACAACAAACAATTGATAATTACATTGAGAATGCAGATTTTCAACCCTTTGTGCATTGAATTAATAACACTTTCATCTTTTCTGTTTTTTCTTAACTTCCCCACTGCAGTGCTGGATAGAAACATGTCCAGAGGGATGTTGGGATCGAGATAATGAAGCCACTCCCCTGGTATTCATGGACCAGTGACCCCATCAAAGGATTAGATGGGTCTGACATCATCTGCTCTTGATAAACTCATGTTGGTATGTTGTTATTACCTCTTAGGTGTATAAACATTTTTCTGTATTAAGTTAAATTAAATGTTCTGGAAATCCATTAACCTTGTTTTTCTCCATCACAAGTAAGTTTTGTCTAACCCGAGCAAATGTTATCTCTCCATTAAAGATAGATGTACCATGTACCAGATGTACTGGTAATAACAGTAATATCATTATCAGATCAAAGCTGACCATATTTTTGTGAAGCATCAAAGCAGAAAAAAATATTGATAGTATTTTCTGTCTCATTCATTATTTGCTCAGTCTCAGTTAAACAAATATTGTTTCTTTTAAAAAAGAATTGACATATTTATTAAAACATTTTAAAATATCTTCTTATGACCCTTACTAGCTGAAACTCTGCATGTCAGCCTGCTGGATTTTTTCTAACATTAATTTTCTAGAGTTCTCTTTTTTCGATTTGCAGGTCATGAGGTAGATATGATATCTCAACACCCTACTGAATTAATGTAGAAAATCAGTTTAGTAAACAGGTTTTTTTATTTAACTAATATTGCTTATTTTATTAAAAACAAAAATAAAGAGTTTTCCAAAAAAGTGTGAAAGTAACGCTTCACTCCAAAGCTTGAATGTAAAGACAGTGGGAGGAAGTCCTCTTATTTCGAAAAAAGGTAGAAAAAAATGTAGTAATTTAATCATGTGAATAATTTATCCTGGTTAAATATAAAAGTAAATTTTGGTTTTAAGTCAAAAATCAGTGGAATAAATATAAAAATTATTTTAGATTCCTGAATTTCTGCAGATTAAAAAAAAAAAAAAAAAAAAAAAAAAAAAAACAACCAAAAAACTCTATAATGTTTTAGGAATAAAGGTTGAAAACCTTTTGAGGAATTCCTTGAGGTTGAGGAATACCTTCTGTTAAAAGTTTGCATGCCTGGAGAAGTGAAAATCAAGCTATTATACACTGTTCATACAACGTATGTTTTCTGGCTTTTATGTCCGTTACTCCTACTGGAGGATTGAACTTAGCTTTCCAAGTAAACGTATCTAGGATTTTTTTTTATTCTGTTTGCCTTTTTTTTTTTTTCCTGGAAAAATGTCTGATTTGAAGTTGACAAGTTTTAAGACCTTTCCAATACTATAAATGTTACAGAGACATTTGAACTTCCCATGGCAAGCAAAGGCCTAAAAGGGAGACACTGTGAGTGGGCAGGAACATCTTGAAGAAATGGATATGTTCACATTAATCCTGGTGTCCCCTGAGCCAGATCAAAAAAGGAAATTACTCAAATAAAGTCCATGTGGTAGAAAAACGTGACAGCTGAAAATACCTGTCAGGCTCTTCCCTGGTCTGAAGAATAGGGTTTTGCTATTGATGTGACAAACCAACAGACTTGCAAACTGTCAAGAGAGCCTTAAACATGATATGAGTTCTCAGGTTCCAGATAATGAGAGGTGCACACACTAGTCACACAAATGGGGAAAAAGAAGTTAGAGCTGCTCAGTGGAAGAACTGGAGATTTCTAAACTATTGTGAGATAAATCACACTCTAGGCTCCATTTACACTATTGACTAGATCTCCACTGACTAAAAGGAGTTATTAGGCACTTGGTTTATATGCAGAAATCTTTGTTTAGATGTCTTAATCCACGAGTTGAATTCCACTCAGTCTCCCGATGTAGATAAATGACATCTATTCCCTTGAAGGATGACTATCTACCAATGATCTTAAAAGTAAACTGAAGTTCTCAATTGACCCATTATTTATTCTCCTTTTCATTTATTATCCATACACCTATGTCACTTCACTGTCGTGAATGCATTTTTCATGTATGATATGTTCTTCATTGCTTTTTATTAATTTTGCTGAAATAATATGAGTCAGTTCTTATCTACTACTGTGAGAACCTAAGTGCCTCTGGCAAAATTCCTGAAACTGTATTGATTCCTATCTCAACTTTGGGAATCAGAACCTAATTGTCCCTTAAAGAAAAACAAAACAGAAGACAAAAACACTTATGCCTGCAACTGCAGGTTGCTGGTATGACAAACAGTACCAAGGTGGCCCCTAAGCTGTTTTCCTTATTCTCTGAGCCTGCCTTGAGACCCTGATCACAGCCATACAAACAAGTGACCATATAGAGTGAGATGATTTCTGTTAACTGTTTATGGAAACAGTCCTCTGAGACATTTACTGTGAAGCAATTCAAATTAGTGTCACTTTCTTTAACTTCCTAATGCAGTGTTTGTTCTTGGAATCATAATTCAGCATAGGCTTATGTATATACACATGTGTGTATGTAGCTGTGTATGCAGTGTTACTTCATCCAGAACTAAGCTCTTCCCAACAGTTAAAATGTTGTGCCTCACATCATAAAATTCTATTTTTAGTTTCTTAAATTTTTGCTGAAGTTTAATTTTTCAAGCTGAAGTTTTCCAAGACAACAATTCAAAACAGGCTCAATTCTATTAGAAATTTTCCTCTAGAACATTTCAGTGATTCTAATATCAGACAATATGCAGCCTTCTTAAAGAAAATATCATTGTACACTCTATTACCTACACACTTTGAAATGTAGAAATGAGTCACTCTAGAGTTACAGATACACTTTACTAGTGGCATGAAAATTTACCTAAATATAAAATTTATTTCAAAAATGATCTCTGTTCATGGTCAGCCATGTGGCTAGTAGCAACCTATGTGCACCAACTGTTCATTCAAAATGTTGAAGTGTTACTGCTGAAGGTGAAAAGCGTAAATTTGACTTTTTCTTCAGTCACTCATTTTAGTTGGCAGAAACTGTTTTAGGATGTGCTGGTTTTGTGCCCTGCTCTTGAAGTGAGAATAGAAAAGCTTTTCTCTGTCCTTCCCCTGTGGCCCAGGGAGCAGAAGGAGGAATGTACCATAGAGTAAGTGTGAAAAAAACAATTTATTTGAACAACAAAGAAGGTTAGAGGACCTAATGTGCTACAGAAGACAGAACTTTGAAAGCAAAAGGCAAGAAGTTTCCAGCTACTTTTCTTCTTTCCATTCCAAAGGCCTTGTGATCATGATTCTGCTTGTGAGTGCAAGTGATTCATTATAGTTTCTTGCTTATATCCTGCTAACCCTTTCTATGACCATTAGTTCATTAACAATTTCTACCTGGTCTCTCTTGGAAGATTTCATTTTCAGTAACCATAAAAACTATCACAAGTCTACCTTGCCTTGTATGTGTTTCCTGGTAGAAATGTATGTCAGAATAAGGTAGTGTTTAATCTGTGACTTACATTTCTTCAAGTTTTAATTAAACTTTCTTCTCAATTGAAACATCATTTCACCAAATGAAAAGGAACAGTGTCACTATCTTACAGCACATGGTGTATTTCCTTCTTCATATAACTCATTAAAATTCCAGTTCAATTTCTAGAAAGTGTTAAAATTTTTTTCAAACAAAACATTCAAAGGAGTTGTTTTTTTTTTTTTTTTTTCTCTTTACTTTTTAATTATTATTTATATTTTTTAATGCTCTTACTCTGGATGTTCTATTCTGGAATCCAGGCAACTGGAGTAGAGAAAGAAAAAAGGCAGTTAGATTTCCTTATGTGTGAGAAACCGTCAAATCTTAGTTGGCTACTAGGTGGCAGAAGCCTGTACCTGGAGGAACTTCGTGAAAATTAAGATAATTGTGATCTGTCTCTCACACACACATGGATATGCACATATGAGCACTCACACTTTCCTAGTTTGACCATGTCAAGCTGGCCTGAGTTCTGGGCATATATTTGTCAGAATATATGTTTCCAGAATGTTGTGTCCTAGCAAAGAAAGTTCATGTCCTTTGTGCCTGACTTTCAGGTTCACATTAGTGAAAAGATACCTTTTCTTTCAATAAACATCTGTAATATTTTCCCACATCACAGACTGTCTCCTTGAAACACTATTTTATAACCCCCTGACCTCTTAAGTACTATAAGCTTTAAATTTAATATCAGGGTATAAGATGTGTTCCAAATTGGCTTCTTATCTTCTGCTTCCAAAATTCTGGGGTTTTTTGGTTGATTGTTTTTGTTTTGTTTTGTTTTTGTTTTTGTTTTTTTTTAATAACCACTTCTTTAGAAGGGCACTCTGCTATCATAAAATTAGGTCTAGTTTCTAGTTTGTGACCTGCAGCTGTATATAAAAGTAAAAGATATAGCATTAAGTTCCCCAAGATGGATGCCAGAAGTATATTACTGTGAAGTAGGACACATCACAGAGTCAAACTGCCAACCTTTCTCTTTTGTTCTCATCTTTAAAAAAGAAAGAGGAAGGGACAGCATCTGTGTATGTGGATTTTGCCCTGTGATTGATAACCACAGACAAACATCATGCTTTTGCTGTTTATGAATGTACAAATGTCCCATGGCAGGATGAAGACATAAACCCTGAAGGAAAGGAAAAGTGAGTGTGGAAGTCCCACAGGAACTTAGAGAATCACAACTAAATCAATATAAGAAAAGTGTGCAGCATCATAAGGGGAATACTTTAACAGTATTAGTTTATCTTGATCTATGCTATGGTTTTACATTTGGTCATTATGTTCATTTGGCTACATGACAACATGACAGGAAAGTAAATTATGTTTTCCAAACACTTGCATTCTGGCACAGAAGGGGAGCATCACCAAGCTTTGCTTTATTTAGAAAAAAGATAAGAGTAGCATCTAGTAAAAAATCCATTATCTCATGACAATTATATGTATCTTGTTGAATATAACTGGAGTTTCTTTTTTTTTTTTTTTTTTGTCAGCATCAATTTTAGTAGACCAAAGAGAAGGAAACATGTAAAGAACAATTAAACTGATGCATTCATATGTTAGAGGAAGACAGGTAAGTGATTACCCCAGCAAAAAGTATCATGCTGGCCTTCAAAGATAACTGTGGGTCATGTGTTAATCATAATATGTATTTTACAGGAAATTCATGTAATTAAATTTTTAGTCTTTGTACAAGGTGGGTATTTGTCCCTGTAAAACTGGAATGTATATATTTTCTTTCTCATTAACTCAGTTAAAAAAATATGTAACAAGTGATTACTTTCATTCCTCCCTTCCATGTATGTATGTATTTTCACCTTGTGTACAAAGATACACTGTCTTGAACACACACACTTAGACATTTCTGAGTTGAGAGCACACCTATCTTCAGAACATTTTTTTAATTTATTTTTAAAGCCTAAAGGGTGAATTTGAAAATGTAACTCCAGTTCTCATCTAAACTATTTTGTTTACTACCATGGATTGTTTCAAAGTACATCCATCCACAAGAAATTCTAAACAACTGTTCATTCAGACAAAATGATAATGTTTCATGTGTTCCCATGGCTATTTCTGTATTGTACTCCACTCTTCTGAATAATGAAAGTAATAAGAAGACACAATGGCACTCAGCAATAGCCAAGGGAGGAAAGGTTAGGGGTGAAGTTTGGAAAAAAAGTTTCTTCCTAGAGATTTGGGCAGATTTGATATAAAAGCAGGCTTGGTAGGAGAAACAGCAAATGGAAAATTATTTCTGCAGATGTAACCTAGCCACAAGTGAAGACAGTGGTCCAGCTGCTTGTTTTTTCTATAACCAAATTGATCAGTCTTTTAGAAGTATTCAGGTAAAGGCCATTGCTAATTCTGTGATAATTTCTTTTCAGTTTTAATGTTCTACTGCCACATGCAGTGTTAATTATTTCTTGAAGTGTGAAGTTTTTCTGAGAATAAGGTTTATGAGGACCAGAAAAATAGGCACCTGCTGCTCCCATCAAATCCTGCAGTTATTTGTCAACTGTTTCTGCAAATCCATTATATATGCAACAGAAAGAATAACTGGCAGAACAAAATAGCAGTCTAAAAAGAGAAACAAAGGTACCATTTTGGCAGTCCAATGGCATTCATTTATTTCCCATTTATGGTCATGTAGCTTGACTTCAAGTGTTTGGCAAAAGAAGCAAACCTAAATTGAGTCATATTTTAAAATCCTATTCCTGTATACATATAGGAATACATGCAGCATTTCTCTTCCTCTCCTCCATCATCATCATCAGTAGCAGCAGCTTTATGATTTCATTATGACATCACATAATAACTTGTATTAAACATACTTTTATTAACCGTCTCACCATTATCAAAAGTGTACTTTCTTTACAAACTGCTTTGACAAGTTAGTGAATGGACACATCAAGTCTGACAAAAATCTGTGTTAATTTTATACTGTGGACAAAAGACTCCTAGTTCAGAAGGATGAGATCATCCACATTATGAAGCAAATATGATTATATAGATTTATATATTTTCCCTAGAGTATTTATGTCAGCATGGCTGGCCTGCAGTGAAAAAGAGATTACTATTTACTTATGTAATTTTTATGTTTTCACTGTAGAGCAGTTTAGACTGATAGTTCAAACAACAGATGAAAATGTGGAATATCTACTGCAAAACTTACAACCTGATAATGTGTGTGCACTTAGTATACTGAACACAAGTTGAACAGCATTTTATGAACTGCAAATTATGTTACATAGGAAGGGATTTTCTTAAAAATATTCTAAACTCTTAGTTAAGGTTTACCATGTATGTTTACCTTGTTTTGCATCCTATGGTACCATCTTTTTTCTTTCCTTTTTGTTTCCTTCCTTTTTTGAATTAATGTGCTACCTGGATGTCTCTACCATTCGACATTATACGCTCATGTACTACAACACAGAGAGTCTTATAACTCTGGTATTCTCTTGCCTTAGTTCTCTTTCAGTATTTGTCCTTTTTTATTTTAAGGGATTTTTGGAAGATCCTCCTTACTCTCCCTGTATTTTCTGCAGCTTTTTTCAAGGGCCACTGTACTTGAACCTATTATTCTTATTTCATATATTTTCAGGTTAGTACTTCCAAATAAGAACTATCTATGAGATCAACTAGTGGCTGAATTGTGTCCAAAACCATCTTGGCTGTCTTCTGGTATTATTTTAAAACTGTTATCATCTGAAGCTCAAGTTGACTAAAATCTCTCTTAATCTCTCCCACGTGAATCTTTCTTTCCTTACTTTCTCAACTGCAATGCCACCTTTCTGCTGACATTTAAAACTCTCCTTTGTCTCAGAGCGCTCTCTGGGTTTTCATGACTGGGTTATGTTTTATTTAATCTTCTATAAAATCTCTCACTCCTTGCTAGCCAGATTCTTTCTACTGTAATTCTTGGGTACAGCTGTTCTTCCTCTGGACCCAGCAATGCCTTAGTCCCCTTCTCAGCTTGTTTCTAATGTTCAGAACAGAGATTGGCACTCCAGGTTGGGTAAGAAGTAGAATATAGATTTTCTACTAAAGAACAGATTTTATTGGCAGAAACACAAGAAAATATGAATTTGAATGTGAGATTTGGACACCTAGCAGTTATCCAGCTTATTATTGTGTTTGACTGCATATGACTTGGTCAGGTAGGCAATTAAATGTCAGCCAATTGAAAAAAGTATATAACAGGGTTTGTATACTAATGAAATATGTAGTGGTCACTAAATAATGGTATTCCAAACGTTAGTCCCAGGAAGCCTTTTTCACCGTAATTATCAGCTGAGATTCCACTAGTCCTTTAGTTTCTGCTACTGCTAATCTTGTGGCCTACATGGTGGCCTGGCGTAACAGGAGCAATACTCTAGAGACAAGTTCTCAGAACAAAAAGGTTTGGTGTTTTGTCTTTTTTTTTTTCAATCACTAAAGAAAAATCCAGATGAAATCTCCTTTAGAAGAACACATTTCAGTCAGTTACCTCTTCTGATCATTAAAAAGTAAGAATTACTCTTAATCACGCTTCAGTGTGTTGTTATCATGTTGTTGGAATTCAAACATTGTTCCAGCTATGAGATTCATCATTTTCTTTTCCATTCTTTAAAACTCCTATTTTCTCTGATTCATTCCAGAAACTCCAAAAACAAAACAAAGTAGCAGAACTGCTAGATCATTGAAGTAGGATTTGTCTCGTCTAACTGTAAATATGCACAATGAGGACAAGTATACATGAGCTATAATGGCACTGTTTTGGTCAAGATAAATACAGACACTTTTAGGTACCGTTCACCTGAATTACTTTGTTTACCTGCTTTATATTTAATAAATTGTACCATGCACAGTGAAGGCAGTCTATGGTACTCTCTCAGACAAAGGGCTCTTTTGCAGATATCTCGAATAAGTGAAACGAATCTCAGCCTTGGTGCTCAGTACTAAAATCAGAGAATATCATGTTAGCCATTGTTCTCCTGGACGCTCTTAAGCTATTTGTTGTCATTTGTTACCTTTGTATTATGAATTATTACTTTGTTTCACGCTGTACAGTGCATTGCACCATGGGTCCTGCTTCCCACATTGGGCTATTTGTAATATTATGATAACATTGTGCACTGTGTCACCATAATCAGTAATTATACAACAGGTTGAAGAGAATTCAGATTTGCAAAAGGTTTTTCTCAGGCTTTTCAAGTCTGAAGGAAAAGATAAAGAGCACTGGTTCTTGTATCTGTGGAGTCTGAGCACTTCTGCTCTTAACTTCCAGTATTTCAGGTTCCCTGATAGAGGGCTTGCTCCAGGTTCACTCATAGAGGCTGTGCATGTGCAGGTTTTATTGTTGGGAGCATTGTAAATTCATAAATCACATTGTTAAATTCTCTTGCTCTGTATTTGCTACGGAATCTGTTACAGACAACTGTTTAGTGTTGGACATAAGCATGTGCTTGTATGAGAACTACGTCATACTAAACCACACTAGTCCTTTTACAAACGGAGCTCCAGAACCATTATAAATAGACAATCCTTTTTAGATTACCTCCTGCTGATTATCTTATACTGATGTTGTAGTTAATTCTCAGATAAACTAGCCAATTTTTCAGAAGTTCTTTGTGTTTGGAATAACGTGATTGATACAGAAAACATAATTTTTAAAGCTCTCCCTCTTTTTGCTCTTTTTTCACATTTACTAATGTGTCCGTTATCATACTAACATCATTAGCGTAGGTAATATAAAGTTAGCTATTAGGCTCAGTGGGCAATGCACCTGTCCTAGGACAGAAGCACTTCACCATGAAACAGCAGTCAGATCATACAACTAAGATTCCTGAATGTCAAATGGTATGACCTCTTGGACATACCTGTCTAAAGGCTCTTACATATTTTTGAAGCAAGTCTACAAGATAAAAGATTATAGAAAGATTTTTTATTTATCAAGACTTGGATATAAACCATCATACCATGTTTTACTCCAGTACTCTGGATTAATACTAGAGTGTTAGTCATTATTCTTGAAAAGAGTTTTCTTATGTGTCTATTAGTGTAGTAAACATAAAAGACAGAATTATGGCAAAAAAGCATGCTGTAACTAAAATGCTGATATCCAATGTAACTGAACATGAAATTTTATCTATGATAAAGGTCTTGATTTGTTCAACTAAGGAATGTTTGTTTGTCTAGATTCATGTTTACCTGCTCTGGAAAACTTGGACTAAATGTTTCAGTAGAACTGGGAGATAACATTCCAGTTAATCAAGTAAATGTTTTCTTCTTTGACAATCATGAGGCTGACTGAAATAAAATAATGATAGGAATGGATTTTCTGAAATAATTTTGTATGTTTTCAGTTGTATTACAATCAACCCCATCTGTGACTAATACTGCTCATATGATTCCCTCAGTCCTCCCCCCCAATACACATAAGTCTTCTTCACTCACAATTTTTTTTCTAATAGACTGATCTTCATCTAGAGCCAAAGAAATTGGGCAAGGGCTTCTTTTCCTGGGAGTCATTAAACTGCCTTTAATTAGTATCTGCCAAGGCCTTTAATGAGTTTTCACTATACAATGACTCAT